GTCACTCTGTAATGCAAAAAGAAAAGAAAATAGATTGTGAGCAGAAAGATCTAGTAGATATTTCTCATTAGTTGCAAAATGTATTTAAAAAATCACATGCTGGCACATTTCTCACAGAGATAAAGATCTAGCTCTTAAATTGTCATCCTTATAATATGGAAAACCTGTGAAAGTAGTGTGGTATCATGTCAAGTTTGCAATCAAATATTTATCACAAAGCCTCTAGCCATAGTTGCAAGCTAGAGTAATAAATGAAGTGGGAAAAGCAGAATAATAAATCCCAAAGGATGCCAACAAACATACACCAGGAACAGGATGCTGAAGTTGTCTTTGGTAGGGGGAGCGGCAAAGGAGGGGCGGAATTTGAATATTCTAGATTGACCAAAATCCCTTCACCCTGACTTCATATTCTAAATAAAACTAATACAGTTAATAGCATGCCCTCATTCACAAATGAAGTCGGAATGGAAATTTAGAGCTCAATTGTAGTTGTAGGTTTAGGATTACCTGTAATCTGAGCATTGAATTCGTGTTAACACAGTGTTGAAAAATTAAAGAAAACAGATGGTAGTCCAGCTGATAATATATGATATTGTAACACCTTCTTTTTTACATGGGATGATAATTTTTGATTATATCAAACAGCAAACATGAGAGTTTTTTTAATGTAATTGAGATTCTAACTGGCCTGATGATAACAGATGCATATAAGTCTTATAAGGTGTGTTATTGTCTCTGTGATAAGGAATAATAGAATTCTTGGTTGCAAATTTATGGAAAATATGATTAAAGAATGCTCACTAGAATATACAAAGAATCCCAGTTTGCATCCATCCAAGTAGCAGATAGATAATTTTTAGGTTGATCAGATTATATTTTCTTTGAAAAGATTAAAGTTAAATATTGGGAAAATAATGAAAAAAACTAGTAATTTATCAGCATATTATTTAAAATAAGAGAAACACAAAATGTAATTAATTTACACTTTCTCACTTGTATTTTAATATAAAATAAGTAATTTTGTGATGATACGGTAGATCAATAGCAAATGAGTAATATTTTGAGTGAATTTGATATTCAACTGTTACCACACGATTGTGCAAAGATTTTGAAAGCAGTTTTGGAACTTAAAAAATATTTGAGACAATTCAGCTGGTGAAAAGCAGAAAGCCTCCACCCTAGATGGTTTCCCTATTAAATTATATAAATATTTTATAGTTATTTTGAGCCCAGTATTATAAGAGGTTTATACTAAATAATTTACATATATTAATTGCCTTTATCTTTTTATGAGGCTTATATAAAGTGAATTTAAAATCAGGTAAAGGTTCTAAATTCTATGGAAAGGTATAAACCCATATCATTAATTAAGGTAGACACTATTAACTATTTTGTTGGCTAGATCATTGCAGTGAGTGTTATCATACATAATTTATCCATCTCAGTCTAGATTGATTAAAACTAGACATCAGACAATTTACATTTATTAATAGATATTTTGGACATAGCTCAAGATGTATTAGATTCTGCTGCATTAAAATGTTTAGAAGCTGAAAAGCTTTTGAAATGTTTCAGATTAATTTTCTAAAGCAAGTTACATGTGGATGCGGATTTCAACCTTCTTTAATTATATGGATTGCAATTATATTTGAGAGCCAGTTTGGTGTAGTGGTTAAAGGCTAGAAACAGGAGATCATGAGTTATAATACTACTTTAGGAATGAAGCCATCTTGAAGCCTATCTCTTAACATCCTAGAAGGTGGCAATGCCAAGCCACTTCAAAAGTGTGGCCCAGAAAACTCTGTGAATTGCTTATGTTCAATTTTACTCCAAAGATAAATAGTGCTATTTTACTTGAAAGTATATGCAGAATCTGGAATAGTAACTTTAAATCATTATTTTAAGGAATTTCAATGGCTTCATACAGACTTTTTTTTTTTTTTGCCTAATATACCATAGTGGGAAAATAATCAGCTGAAGCATGCCTTAAACCAGGGGTGTCAAACTCGATTTCATTGAGGGCCACATCAGGGTTCTGTTTGATATTGGAGGGGCCAGTGGGCGTGGCTGGGGTGGGTATGGCCAGCACAACATCACTTGTGTCAGGGCGCCTGTGGTGGGCCAAGCATTCTACCAGTGAAAACAGGCTCCCGAGTTCCATTTTTAGCTGTGACAGCCTCCTGAAACCCTCTGCCAGCGAAAACGGAGCTCCGTTTTTACTGGCAGAGGCACTGCGGGCCAGATCTAAGCACCCCGCAGGTCAGATCTGGCCCGTGAGCCTTGAGTTTGTCACCCCTGCCTTAAACAGTTGCTTGAGGTGCTTCAAAGAAACTGAAGTAGTCTTGTTTTTGATGAAATCTGCTTCTGAAACCAAATTGATTTTATATTTATATTAAATTTTTTTAAATGTGATAGGTTTGACAAATCTATACATTCTTTTAACCTTTTTCTATAACTCCAAAAATCAAACAAATCATATAAACTGACTAATTTTGTTATGTATGTAGATTTGGGCGGGCAGTTTGAATTAACTGACGGTCAGCTGATTGGCTGACCACCACAGCTGCAAGGTATATAAAGGGAGCTGTTTCCCCTGGTCAGTTGCTGGGTTCTCACCCTACAATAAAGAGCTGTTGTCACTCACTGCCTGGCTTGCTGCGTCCTCATTCACCCAACGTAACAAATTTGTTCCATTTTCACAATTTTGCTCTTTGTTTCAAAGCTGGGTAATGCTGGACAAGAATTTGATGAAAAATAAACAACAACATAACCTCTCAAGGCATATCCTTCAGTGGAGATACTATTTCCAAGTACTTTTTTGTAAGAACAATATGATAAAATTATGAGAAGTGTCATCTGTTGGATTACAAAAAATAATGATTTATTTTTTCTAATATTTGCATAAGACATAAAGCTATTACCGTAAATTCTGGTGGATATCCTCCCACATAGAAGACCACTTTGTCAGGATCCAAGTTAAGAAGAGTGTTACTATTCCTACTGGGATCTTGAGGTTCATATTTGGCTGAAAAATCTGAGGGTGCAGCATGCTTATATGCTAATTCTGCATACTGGTAAATTCTAGAGAAGAAGAAAAATGCATACAACTGAAAGTCTTCCAATATGAGTGCAAAATAATTGGAAAGGATCTATTTTAAGGGTCCATACCTCTTAAATGTGACTTGATCCAAAGCTATGTCCCTAGTGGTTTTCTCATACAATTTTTCCGTCACTCGTATTTCATTTTCGAAGCCTCCTAGGTTATAGGCGCAAATAAGATGATCATCACGAATAGCCATACCGATATAGTTGCTGGAACTCTGAACATGAAAGTTTAAGTTAATTCTTCAGACAACTGCTACATGTTATATAATCCTTTTTTTAAAAAAATCATCAAACATAACACCTGCAAAGGAGAAGTATGCAAACAAGATCATCAGGGCGGGGACTTGTTTTCAATTTTTCTAAGTCTGCTGAGATTTTTTTTTTAAATTGCCTCATAAGCTTGTGTTCACCCTGGGACAGAAGTTGCCTTTGAGATCAATTTAAATTCAATGTAGATATTCAAGGCAATTGGATGGTACAAATCCTTTAAAGAACTCTGAATGGGTGTTTATAATCCTTTAATCTGATAGAAATTTCTAGCCCTCAAATTCAAGATTCTGTAATTTAAATCATTTCCACTAATATATAGTACAAGTAAACATACATACACAAATGCACACGTAGTAAACCCTGATTAACAGACTAATAAGTGAAGTGGTGCCTGTTTCAGCCAATGTCCTTTAAAAGGTGAATCAGATTTATGTATGTGTAAAATTTTCATATATGGTTCATAACACATGGAAAACACACAATGTCCAAAGCTTCATATGAAACAACAGGTTTAAAACATCTACATTCTAAGAATCAATTAGAAGAATTATAATAGGATGCGTAATTGACACGAATAATTCATGACAGTACACATTTGATGCTTTTAGAAAGTAATTATGTGGCTCCTTTGACATAATGACAGGAGCTTGGCTCTATTTTTAGATATAATTCCGTTTATTTCCTGCATTGGAAGATAATTTTGACCATTATTCAAATGATAAATCTTAAATTGCAAATATTAGGTAAATAATTTGTTGGGGTGGAGGAATTCAGACAAAAATATGGCTATTAATATTTTAGATTGGTTTATTGTTTAGTGCCTAAAACTGATGAGATATACAGGCCCAAGAAAACCCTTACATAAACATGGAACTGATGTCTCAAGGCCTAGAATAAAGTAAATATGTTGATTCAAAAGAGTGGAAGGCTTGGGATTTTAAACCTGAGTCTGCCAAATAAACATAGACATTAATTTTTGCATTTTGCAATGGACTGACATTTTGCTTACATATGATTTCTTTCTTGACAGAGTGACTCCATTTTTTAAAATTCTGGAACACTGTTATGTTGTTTTCAGTTTATGAATTTTCTATTGAGCTAATCAATATTGATTGCTATTATTTCATGTGATCTTCAAGGCGTGTATTTAAATATTAAGCTTAATGATTTTCCTTATGTAATATAATATTATTTATTGTTATTATCCCTCTGTTTCTGATTTTTTTCTTTTTCTTGTTTTGTTTGCTGATTTTTTTCCTTATTTTTTTGGCATATTAAGGTTATACAATTGTTAAAATGCTATCTCAAATTAAACAGCAGTGAAGAAGGTACCTAGGGCCATGTTCAAAGATACAAATACACTGTGCTTCCAGCTCATATACAACAGAGCAATCCAAAATAGGGTACTCTTTCTTATATTTCAAAGGGCTCTTAATTATCTCCTTTTATGACTAATTCAAATATAGGCTAGTACTGTATGTGATCAAGACTCAATTCAGAGCCTTTTGGGAGAATGAAGATCTTTTAGAGATAACAGAATCCAATAACTTAAAGGTTCTGGATTGGGACCACTGCTGGTGAAAACATCAATGGCGGTACTGTTACATCCATGTCTTTTTCCACAGGTGCGGACGTGGCCTCTGCAATAGATAGAATGCCTCCCTTCATCTCAAATTTATTCAGTTATGGTTATTGACCAGCCAGGTAAGAAAAAAAAGAAAAAAAAATCTCAGAAGCAATGTTAAAATACAGCTAAGACAGAAGTTAAAAAAAAAAAGATTTAGATTTTAAATTTAAAAAATGAATAAACTACAGTAAAATAAAATATATTTTGGTTATATATTTGTGATTTTGCAATAATGGCTTGGTAAGAAATAGTCAACACTTACATCTTTGTTACCCAGATACATGACAAACATGTTTTTTGGTTGTGTCATGTCTTCCTTTTTACTAGGTCTTTGTAGAAGGAAAGAAAGAGAAGTATAACCCTTCAGATCATCCAGGATATCAGGAAGTCGAACTTCAACTCCCGATTTGCCATTGAATTTCATAGGGATGGCCACCTAAAATAAGGTTTGTAAGTAATTACAAATTTAGTTAGGAAGCAAAGCAAAGCTTCAACTTACACACATTTCATCAAGCCATACTGTATTTACAGTATATCTGTCTTAAACAATTCAACCAACTTGGATTTACAGTTTTGTGAATATTACTCTTATCACCATTGGCCTGACCTATGTAGGCATCCAAAACAAAATACTTTTGAGAAAGAATACATAAAAATATTTGGATAAGTATGTGAGAATAATTTTTTTAAAGGAAGCAAGGAATTTTTGCCACACACCTTATTTGCAGCATCTCTGGCTTGCTGGATGAGCTCCCTGATGCGATTTATATTCTCAGTTATATTGCTTGTTGATATGACTTGCTGATTGATATTTGTAATCTTGTTAAACAGATCTGGGAGCATGCTTGTTAAGTTATTTACTGTTGAAAGCATTTTAAAATGAGGGAGAAATATAGGATAGTACATATCAAATTACAGTTAAAGTAACTGGAAATTTAATTTTTAGTTATTAACAATACACTAGTTTAATTACTTGTTAATTATTAGTCCCAAGTGGGAACAGAAAGGGAAAATTATAATTGACCAGCTTGCTATGCCCTATTTTGTTTTCAAGAACACAAACTAGAAGGAATAGCTACACTGTTAAACTTAAAGCCTTTTCCAGTCTTTCATATCCTCCAAATGTCTTGAACTACAAAAATTATTCACCCATACCCAACATTCAAGGTGAAGGATTTGAGACTCATCTAAACACCTACTGGGAATTGAATTATTATAGAATTATTATTTTGGAGGAAACAGAACTAGTATTGTACTATAAACCCAATAATCACTATAGTTCTCTAACAGTGTTATACAACAGAAAGTGGAACTTTTTCCTATATACAAAATGAGGCTGATTCAGTAAGTGATAGTCCTGTGTAGACTTGCTTCACCATATAAACTTGCTTCAACTTAACAAGTTAAACCTACCTGTGATCTGTTACACCTAAATCTACTACAATAGGTGAAACCTATCCATGACCTGATTCCTGAAATCATTACAAGCCGTGTTCCCAACTGCTTCAACCCAATGACTATGCCCTTAAAATGGAGGAAGGGGATTCAAGGATTTTTGCTCTGCTTAGATTTGATCAAAGTCTTTAAAATCAGATATCCGAGAGCTGTTTTCCATATATCTATGCTATTTAGGTTGCTATGCAACATCTTGGAAGAGATTATTCTACAGTGTGGACCTAAATTATCTGGTTTTGACTTTTCCAGAAAATTCTCCACAATGTTTGGTTCCATATTGCTCACAGGGTGTATCTGCTAAGTGATGACTCAATAGGCATTTTAACAACTGACCTTTTTCAGAAAATATATCATAAGAAAACTCTGACATTAATTTAAAAATAGTTTAAGGAATCCATGTAAAAGGAAAAAAGCTACCTGAATTGCTTGCTTCTCTCAAAGCCTTGTTGAAATCAGTAATCTGTACATTTTCATAAGTGTTCTTTATGTTCCCAATTCCAGCTTTAATTGGGTCCAGTTCACTGAGTACATTTGTAGTAATATTGTTAGCATTCTTAATCATGGTATTTGCAGTTGTGATTAAGGTCTCTGTATCATCTAGTAGGCAGATAAAGTGGCATATAAATTCAGGATAACATTTATTTGTCTTTTAAGATACAATATGTAAAATGCTCTCTACTGAAATATATGAGGCTTATATTCTGCACTATTGTAAGTAAGTATATAATTTGTATACATTTTTTTGTTTCTTTTCTTCCACTTAATGCTTTTTTAATAAAAAAAAATATGGGTACAATAAATCCAATAAAATGTACATTAGTAAAAAGCCACATCATATTACTTACCTCTCTTTATTCCCTGGAGGTTATTTTGGAACTCACTAAGATCTCCCTGTATTGCAGTTTTTTTCCGTTCTGCTTCCTGAAGCTTGTTCCTCATATCATCAAGTGCTGGACTGAGATCTATAAAATAATCCACTATAAATCATCCTGACAATTATGGATTGCCCTCACTTTATTACTAATAGTAGTTTTACTATTCATGCTCTTATAACTGACTGCTTTCTGGTGAGGTTTCTGTGTTTTCCTCTAGTCATTCCTTTGCCCAGGTGGCCAGACCATGAACCTAATCACAGCCAAATTCATTTTCAGTGTAATCCTACTAGACAAATTTAGGTACCTTTAAATATGTTGCTAAATTTGAGACTTTGGAAAAAGTTCTGAGAAGAGCAACTAAGATGATCAAAGGCCTGGAGACTGAAACATATGAAGAACAGTTGCAGGATTTGGGTTTGGCTAGTCTAGAGAAAAGAAGAACTAGGGGTGACATGATAGCAGTATTCCAATATTTGAGGGGCTGCCACAAAGAAGAAGGCGTCAAAATATTCTCCAAAGCACCAGAGCACAGGACAAGAAACAATGGTTGGAAACTAATCAAGGAGAGAAGCAACCTGAAATTAAGGAGAAACTTCCTGACAGTGAGAACAATTAACCAATGGAACAGCTTGCCTTCAGAAATCATGGGCACTTCATCACTGGAGGTTTTTAAAATGACACTGGACAGCCACTTGTCTGAAATGGTATAGGGTCTCCTGCTTGAGCAGGCAGCTGGACTAGAGGACCTCCAAGGTCCCTTCCAGCTCTATTCTATTCCAAATAAGACTTTGGTTTGAGCATTTTAGAAATATCAGAGCCCTTTTCCCAGATAATTTACAATTACTGGTAGTCAATGGTAGGAATCCAGTTCAAACAATTCTGGAAGTTGAAGTCCATACATCTTAAAGTTGCCAAGACTGTGAAACACTGATACAAGAGGAAGAAACCACTGGATTCTATAGCCTCCCTTCTCTCACACAGCTTTTCCTAGGTTGAGTTTTGTAAGGTCTGTTTCTCTGAAACTCATTCTGTTGAAAGACCATCTTAAAACAAAGAAAAGCACTTCACTACCAACTACCATACTCTTAATCAACTGTAGTGACTGTGAACTAGGCTGATGTGAAAACTTTCAATTTCCAAAAAGGAGTCAGTCAGTGGTAAATATGTTATAACTTAGCTTCTAACAAGGTCAGGGCTAGAGCAATAGTAGAGGATGAAACCCTAAAACTTTTTATCATGTTTTGTAACGCTTGCAATGTATGATGTGCTGATGATACCTTGCAATGTCTTCTGTGTTTCTCGTGCTTTGTTTAACACTTTTCCACTGTTGGTTTTCAGTCTTTCAGCCATTCCAGATAAATCTTTTTCATCCACTATCTGAAAATGAAGCACTGCCAGGTAAGAGGCTTGTACAGCAAAAGAAGTGCAATTTCATAATCCAAGCCAGCAGTAGCAGAATTGCTGTAACTGTTTTGTGTGAATTCAGAACATCTGGAACTGGAGGTTGGTGCAAAATGAAGCAAGTGGCAAAAAGAGGGCCAGAACAGAACAATATGCTCCAGAAACAGAGCTGTTACGATACAAAAATATATTTCTTTTGAAGTTTATTTATCTCAGTAGGCAAAATCTCTCTCTCTCTTTATCTATCACATTTGAAAGAACTTCCCGGGGAGAGAACACAATGCTTATATATCTCTACTTCTACCTGACCAGAACTCTGATAAATCCTTTCAGATTGCCTGATTTTGTGCTACCATTTGTTCTATTCATCCTACCTATGACTGAAGATTACTAAATTTTGGTGATTGTCACTATTATCTTAATAATATTGTAATATTATTGTAATAATATTACATATTATTTTATATAATGTTATTGTATTTTATGTCTACTTTTTAGTTTTATCAATTATAGGTTTATGTGTTTTCCTCTAGGATTTTCATTTCATTTTATTTGTGTGTGTGTGTGTCCCCCCCCCCTCTCTCTCTCATAGTTGCTATTTTGAAAAAAAAATGTGCATCTTTTATAAATCACCTGGCAATCAAAGATGTTTCTAGTGTTTTCTATCAAAGCTATCATATAGCTTATTTTTTCTTAAGAATTTGTTTGTAAAAAGAAAAAAAAAACATGGGAATTACAAATGTAAGTTAATGCTCTTTTCCCCCAATAAATTTCATTTGAAGCAGAGTAATTATCTGGAAATCAAGATGGTAGGTAGCTGGTAAAGCCAAGACAAAAACTAGTTAAACAGCATTCTGATGAGAACAATTACATAAAGGTAAGATGCTTGGTCTCCAATCACTTCTCCCAAGAGTCACATCGAAAATTACAATTTAGTCCAACTTTGGGAGATCTCTAGAAATTGCATTCCAGGTTTCTAGAATCTATGTAAGATCTTAAGGTCTGCCTCAATCTGTTACTGTCCTACAAGTGCAATAGATCACATGTTAAGTTTATTTTTCTACTGGGCAGGAAGAGGATAGTCTAAAAGTAGGTCTACATCTATTACCTTGTCAAAATCAGACCAGATTTTCCTTTGAGATTTAGGTTTGCAATGACTATTCTTTTCTAGAGGTAAAAGATCAATTAAAATAGCTCATTAACATGGATTCAGATGAGTTCTAGGGGTCTTCCTATAGTTTGGTTGGTGCTCCTTTACAGAATTAGCTTTTGCTAAATTACTCTTTAGCATCTTCTCCTGCAGCGTAGAACATGTTCAGCCTCTTTGCATACATCTTACACATGTATTAAAAAATAAAGCAACTGTATATGATGTGCATTTAGAATACTCTTACTGATAAAGCTGAATCTGCTGCACTTGATGCTTTGTTGGCTGCTGCTTCTGCTGCTCTAATAATATCAGAAATATTCTCAAAAGCGGTAGCACCTCCCACAGTACAGGTCACTAGCTCATTCTTGCTGGCATTCTTCTTGAGTCTGTGGAGAGGGGGAAAGCCAAAATATAGTACAGGTATCAAGAAAATTAAAATACTTTGGTTGATACTTTGGCTTTCATTGATTACGGAAGGAAGGAAGGAAGGAAGGAAGGAAGGAAGGAAGGAAGGAAGGAAGAAGAAAGAAAGAAAGAAAGAAAGAAAGAAAGAAAGAAAGAAAGAAAGAAAGAAAGAAAGAAATGATCTAGTGCTATGCAACTTTATTAAACACAGCGTATTTTGTATGATAAGCTAAGTTGAAATACTGCCATATAAAGAAGAGACTATCACTAAAAGAAATATATATGAAATAAAAATGAATCCATTCAGGAAATAGATTTTAAAAAATGGAAATGTGTATAATTTCATCACTAATTATTTTGGGGGGAGGATGGATGGGATTAATTCAGAGAGGGCATAGTCTAAACCAGTATTTTTAAAGTGTGGTTCAAGAATCCCTGTGGGCCCCACAAAAGCTTAGGGATCTGTAGAATCAATATTATTAACCAAATATTGAAAATATTTGCAGAAAATTAAAACACTTACTTGTTTCATTATTAATTTGTTTAAAATATTATTTTCTTCAATAAAAATATTTTATTTATGTTAATATCTGATAGGTTTGATATTGTTATTTTTACATGATTCAAAGAATAAATATTCTAAGAAGGTGGCAACATCATCACTGACTAGGCAGCATTTGGGCCCCTCTTCAGGAAAGTTAATTGTGCCCCAGTACATTAAATGTCATTCATCTCTGCAATACAGTACAGCAGTCTCCCCATTCCTCTTAAATCAGTTTAAGTATAACTATCTTGTTTTCCCCAAAATAAGATATCCCCTGATAATAAGCCCAATCGGGCTTTTGAGCACATGGCAATAAAGCGAAGCGCTTATTTCAGGGTTCAAAAAAAATATAAGACAGGGTCTTATTTTCAGGGAAACACGGTACATAGTTTGCCTTTCCACCAGAAAGGAACCATGTCCAATGTGTAAAACACTTCAAGTAAGGAATAAACCATTCTAAAACAATTAATTTACAAAAGTGAAGACATACTCATCCAACTTTCTTGCCAGGTCTTGTAAAGAGTTGGCATACATTTCTGCTTTCACTACCAAAGGTTCCTTACTGGACGATAAGAATTGGCTCTTCAATTTTTCATCCAGATCTTTCTTTGCTCCATCCAAATTGGCAGCTAGGCTTTCATATTCCTGAAATTAGAAGAGAATTTTATGCATTGTGACTAAGATGCATAACATATCTATAAGAAATAGGTGTAAAGTTTTTGTTTGCTTCAATTTCTTATATAAACCCCAATGGCTGCGCTTTTGAACACAACATGAAGTTTACATACAGCAAATGAGCTAGAGATGCCTTTTTCATATGTGAGTAGTAACAGCTCGTATAAATTTGCGAACAGTTACTACTATCTACAAAACCAAGTCATTTTTGGTAGTATATTCTTATTTTATCATAATATGAATGTTTCAACCTTATAGAAACTTTAATTCTTTCAAATTTACCTCCTTACTCTTCTGGAACAATTCAAATATACTGTTTGTTTGAGACACTGATGCTTTAGCAGAATTCAGAAGATCCAATATGGCACTCTGTTGCCTAGTCATCTCTTCTGTCTCTTTCTGATAGAAAAATAAAAAATGATTCCCTTTATTAATGCAAAAGAAAGTACTATAGCATAGTATAATTACTATTTATATATTAATTTAAATATGATTTTATACACTGCCACAGTGGTGAGTTGCCCCCGGTTCAGATCGGTTCAAAAGAACTGGTAGTAAAACCAGCGGGAGGCTCTGCCCACCAACCCCGACGTTATCAGGAAGCTTCTGCGCATGCGCACACGTGGCCCCGTTGCGAACCAGTAGTAAAGGTAAGTGGAACCCACCCCTGCACTGCCACAATCATATACATTATGCTTTGAGATACTCTTGGTAGCTCAAAGCATAAAAAGAAAAAAATAATAACAATAGAAGTTTTATAAAATAAATCCAACAGACAAACCTAAACTCCAAATAATTTGGTGTCAACTTCTAAATGCTTTCTGTTAAAACTTTGTTTTAAACAGCTTCTACCAGTACTGAGGCCAAACACATTTCTCATAGGAAGCCATTCCAGAGGACTGGGCCAACAATGTAAAAACAACTTGCTGAAAATAGTGAAGGGCCACCAGCTATTCTCCCAGTAGTTGGGAATGGTTAGAATCAATATGATTGGGATGAAAGTGGCTGGACAGATTCCAGAGGAGAAAAGTATTAGAAAGTATGTAATTCAGCCAATACCTAACTCATAAACTCCTTTGGGGATCTAGTATAACTTTTTTTTTTTAAAGGTAGAAAGGTAGGTATAAAATGACAGTAGACCATGGGGTGTGAAAGTGAAATGTTTTTCTTTTGAGCTATTTCCTAAGAAATCTCTTCAGCAAATAAATCATCAAATTAAACAGAGGCATTGTTCTGTGAGGTATGGAATTTCTCAGAGTCTGGGAAAGAAGAGAGAGGTTCTCAAAATATGGCAGCTAAATAGAAGACAGATGTTTCAGCCTTACTTCTTAAGTGAGATGTCAATCCATTTGTTAAGGATTCGGTGAGAAAGAAATTCAAACAGTTCATCAAGACTCCATCTTAATGTACTTACTAATAAACTAGGATTGGTCTATACTTTTCTACTTAACTAAAATTTTGTAACTTAATCCTTTTCTTGACATTAAACCTGATTAATGAGAATCTCTTTGATTTTTTTCTCCCTTGGTCATATCTATTGGTCACATGCTGCTGTTAGGTGCTTGAACTACTGAACGTCTGAGTCTATATGGCCCTTAAGGAATTGAAGGAGGTCCCTGTTCTCCTCTAATGTCCACCCACTTAGTGCATTATTTATTTATGCTTTGTCTTTCTCCATGGAGACAGGAACATCAGGGGTAAAGCCCTGTACCTAATGTCTCCTGCCCTTCAAGGACAACTTTGTGGCTGAATTTAGCCCCTAGACAAGTCCAGTGCCTCACTCTTTCTTGCCTGTTTTCAACAGGAAAGATCTCCCACTTGGTATTCTTCTCTGGTTGGCAACCAAGAGCAAATGCTATTCTGAATGAAATCTACCTTGTATCTACTGCTAAAGAACTATTTCTTTTAATGAACAGAGATGAATATCTTAGGTATTTGGCATGGAAACAGAACATGAACTAACAATTTTTACATGTCCTGGTATGATTGGGTCAGTCATGGTATTTACAGGACAAAAAGAATGAGCTGGGGCATGCCAGATGACTAAACTTTTGCTTAACTATTTCTTTTAGATAAACTATGTTATAGCGTACTAAAAAAATAAAATAGCAAACAACAACAACAACAACCATAGGAGAAAACTAATTCACAGGGTCTTTTACAGAATTGTCTTGAGACAAGTTACAGATGTATTAACACTTGTAATAGTTTTTGCCAAATTTTCCCCAAATTAATGAACTTTCCCCATTTAATGCAACATGCATAAAGATCCATAAGCCTAGATAGGTAAGTAGGTAGACAGTTAGATAGATTTACCTTAATCTCTTCCAAAAGACGTTTATTTTCTCCATTTAAGTTTTCAGCTAGCTTTGTTTGTTCCTTTGCTTCTCTCAAAGATTCATGAAGATCATTGAGCTTGGATTCATATTCATTTAGTGAATCTCTCACGCTTTTAATGAGTCCTTGGTTGTTTGCTTTACGCTTTTCTAGTTCATTCCTTATTCGATCTAGCACTATGCAGAATGAATAAAGCAAAACAGGGATAAGTAAATATCCTGTGAGCATTAGGTCCTTCAAGTCTTTTTGTGTCACATTCTTTCTATAAAACAATTTCTCATCGTGAAATTATT